CTGACGAGGGCCTGAAAATGGCCCTCAGTTTCAGGCTGAAAATACTCAGGGCCGGAAAGGCCCTGATTTAGCCTGAAACGACACAGGGCCTGTAGGCCCTCATTTTCAGGCTTACAGGCTGAAACGACACGGGGCCTGTAGCCCCTTGTTTTTCAGGCTTGTGGCCTGAAAACAACACGGGCCTGAAAAATGGCCCGTGCAGCCTGTTGCAGACGCAGCATGTAACACCACCCCTCCTTATGAAGTCAAGACGGGGCGAGGGCGAAGCTGACGATCTGAAGGTGGAACGTGGATGCGGGGGCGACGTGGAGCCGAAGAGCCCGGCTTGCCTTGCATCTTCCGTTCGTAGGTTGCGAGAACATCCGGAGTTGTGGCTTGGAGTTCCGCACGGGTTAACCAATGGTCAACTTTGTGACTGCACTACGCAAAGTGTACCAAATACTCGGTTGTCCTGTTGCCGTAGCGTCGCTGGGAGATGATGTCGCCAACCTCTTGAAAACCGTCCATAGAGGGTGGGTCTTGCGATCGTCGCCCGGGGAAATCGTCATGTTCTGTTGGCGTGTAAAGAGCAAACTTGGAGCAATGAAAGACTGGGTAGACGGGCAAGTGGGCGGGCGCCTGAATGATGAAGGAGGGTCCTTCGGGTGCATCCCAAACGGGTGCCACGATCGGCCAAGGCCCCATCCATTTCGGGAGGAGCTTGGGAGAGATATCTTGTTCAAGGCTGAATTCCGGGGCGGAAACCCAAACGAGATCGCCGGCGCGGAATGGGCAAGGAAGACGCTGGCGATTGGCCTGTTGGCTCATGCGTTGCTGCATCTTGGCCATCTGGTCGCGTGCCTTGACAAGTAGCTCTTGCATCTGACGCAAGAAAAGGAGCTGGTTATCGCTCTCGGCCGTTCGCGGAATGATTGTGTCCAACGACGAAGTGATCGGCGAGCCGTGCTCTAACTCGAAGGGCGACATCCCAATAGCCGGGTGGATGGACGAGTTGTAGGCCAACTCGACATTCGGCAGCCGCTCAACCCAATCCTTTTGGTCGGGACGGATGAGAGTGCAAAGGAGAACCTGTGTGGTCTGATACGCCCTCTCCGTTTGGCCATCGGTTTGGGGGTGGCGAGCCGAACTTGGCTTGAGAGATGAGCCCCATCGTTTGATGAGCGCCAACCAAAAATCGAACATTAACTGAGTGTCGCCGTCGTAGACGATTTCCTTGGGGTAACCCTTGGTTCGAATCCAACCGGCGTAAAGAACCTCGGCCAACTCCAGTGCCTTGGCATGATAGCGGCAAGGCAAAAACATGGCGAACTTGGTGAGTCGGTCGACCACCGTGAGAATCCCATCCACTCCGGTCTTGTGCTTGGGAACGGGTCGGTAATGTCCATGGCAATCGCTTCCCTTCGCCGCAAGGGAACCGGTAACGGTAGCAACTCGCCGTACGGACGATGGTTCCGGGATTTGCAACGTCGGCAAACCTCGCATGACTCGCAATAGCGTGTGATGTCGGCGAGAAGGTCGGGCCACCAAAATTGCTCGCGAAGTCGGCCAATCGTGCGATTGACTCCAAAGTGTCTGGTGGCGGGAGCATCGTGGAACTCGCCAAGAAGCCGTGTACGCAAGTGAGGGTCACTCGGTACACAAAGAAGGTCCTTCCCCCGGGTGTGGACAAGCAAGTACCCTTCTTGGATCCGGTAGTGAGAAGGCGCCGGATTGGGAGAGGAGCGATTCGCGTACTTGTTGCGAAACTCGGGGTCGGTTTGGTAGCCGCGGATGAAGCTGTCCCACAGGTCGTCGTCGATGTCGAAGGTTGAGTAGACCGCGGTACAGTGATCCGGACGCCGTGAAAGAGCATCTACAAAACGGTTCGACTTTCCCGGAATGTGATCGGGAAAGAAGTCGAACTGGTCGATGAAAGCCATCCATCAAGCGATGGTGCTGTTGACGGTGTCTTGGGTCTTGTTAAAGACCAACGGATTGTTGTCCGTTACCCATCGGAATTGGGTTCGACCAAGGAGGAAGTGCCACAACCGCTTGAGCGCATGGACGAAGGCGAGGAGCTCCTTGCGTGCATCCTCAATGGAGTGCACGACGGGCACTTTCTTGCTGAAATACTCGACCGGGTGCCAGTCCACGCCATCGTGTTGCTAGAGGATGGCACCAATGCCATAGCCGGATGCATCCGTAGTGACGCGAATAGGCAAAAGCGGGTCGTATATGCACAAGACGTTCGCAGATAATAGTGCGGCTTTGAGAGCCAAAAATGATTCCCGCCCCTCCTCTCCGAAGTCAAACGGCCGATCCTCGCATTGAAGCTTGGTCAAGTGGGCCGTGATCTTCGAGTAGCCTTTGATAAAACGCTGGTAGTAGCCGGCGAGGCCAAGGAACGAACGGACATCCGTGACGTTCCGTGGCTCCGACCACTCTTGGATAGCTTGAATCTTGTCCGATAGCGGACTGATGCCCTCCGGTGTGACAAAATGGCCCACATATTCCAGCTCTTGCCGGACAAATTCACACTTGTCGTTGTTGGCCTTGTACTTGGCGCGGCGGAGCGTTTCCAACACTCGTCGAAGGTGCTCACGATGATCCTCCAAAGATCGGCTATAGACGAGAATGTCGTCTAAGTAGACCAGCACGAACCGGTCCAACATCGTACGAAACTCGTTGGTCATTGCCGCTTGGAAGGTCGCCGGGGCGTTGGTGAGGCCAAAAGGCATGACCATCCACTCAAAACGTGTGTACCGCGTTTTGAACGCGGATTTGTAGCGATCGTTCGGCCGGATCGAGATTTGATGATATCCCGACTTTAAATCCAACTTAGAAAAATACTTTGCGCCGCCCAATCGCTCCAGAAGATCATCGATGTGAGGAAGAGGCCCCGCGTTCTTGACGGTTTGCGCGTTGAGCTTGCGGTAGTCGATACACAATCGTAGATCTTTGTTCTTCTTCCGTACGAAGAGAACTGGCGCTCCGTATGGAGAGCTACTAGGGCGGATCCAACCCTTGTCCAACAAATCATCGAGTTGTGCGCGGAGGACCGTGACCTCCTCCTCGCTCATGCGATAAATGCAACCTTTCGGCGGCACGGCACCGGCCTCGAGAATGATCTCGTGAGAGATTGGCCGATCAGGCACCACACCGGTAGGTGACTCGAAGATGTCAGCGAGCCCGTCAAGCAACCGCACCACACGGGGGTCCGAAGACAAGCCTGTGGGTGAAGAGTCGGCTACTGCGACGGTGCGTAGGAAGCATAGGCCGATCTCATCGGGCTGCTCGTAAGCACAAGTAGCCCGGAATGACTTCGTCGTCACCACTTGGCACCGAATCGAAGGGTGCGAAAGAGGAATAGTACACGGTACTTCGGCGTCGAACGTGTCGTGAACTGTAAGAGTCCGCCGGTGGAAGTTGACTGTGTGATCCTCACTTGCAAGCCAAGGCATTCCCAAAATAATAGCGAAGTCCGTGTCCAGAATGTCGAACGTTACCGGTTCGCATGCATGAGGTGCGAAATACACCAGTACGGCCTCGATGTAGAGGTAGATAAGTTGCTGCGTCCTTCCGTCCTCCAACTTGATCGTCGTCGGGTTTGCCTTCCTTTGAACTTGTGTACCAAGGCCAGCCCTTGGCATAAAGGCTTGGCTCATAAAATTGCGAGACGCGCCGCTATCCAGCAAAGCACTGCAGGACGCTTGCCCAACTTGGGTGCGGACATAGAGGAGCGGTGCGTTGTTGTCGTCGTAGCTGATTGTGAAATTCGCGGGCCACCTTGGTAACATACGCAAGGATGTCCCCCACTGCGACTTCGTGATCCGTCGGCGAAGTTGGTGGTGCATAGAAGGATAAGGACGTCTAGAGATGAGCGCATAGTGTTGCGCATTGCGGTCCCGGCAAGCGGCCCGTGGTTGGGAGAGGAAGCCATGCGAAATCCTCGGACGTGAGCGAGTCCAATACCTTTATATTGAACTCACGCCCCGAATCCCATGAAGAACCACTTGAAGACAATATGTTGTCGCTGTCAGACGGAGAAGATGCAGCACACACGTCTTGTCCTTGAGCATGAGTACCCAGCGTAGGAACGAGTCGGGCAGCATCGTACTCAAAAGAATAAAGAAGAGGAGGATTATCGACTTCCGCGTGTGCCTCGGAACGAAGGGCGGTCACCCGCGAAGTGACCGGTTCCAAAGGCGTCGAGAGTGTCGTCGAGTCACTCTCGGCGGTGCTCAGTTTCCCGATTTGCCCTTGCCTTTTGACTGGCAGGCCACTATCTCATGGAGATCGATGTTGCACCATAGGCAATAGTGAAATCTCATGCGCGCTTTGAATGCTTGCTCGAAGAGACCGTATTGGGACCATGGGGCTGGAGCTGCTGCGCCGGGCCCGGGGCTAGATGCGGTGTTTGTCTTCACCTTCCCACCTCCTCAACCTTTGTCGGGGCGGCCACCTTCCCGGGCGGCTGCGAGTCTATCCCCTTCATCGGCAAACACCGCCTCGCTAGTTGGTCAAACGGCGTTGTCGCCGCGACCATGGCCACTTTCGACCGACGCTGATCTCTGCTTGGGCCTGCCGCAGACGAACGCAGGTTCTTAGCCTCCTTGTTCGTGACAATAATCTGCGCGGCGTTGTCAAATAGTTCCGGCGTTGTCGTCGGTGTGTCCTCGACGTGAGTCAAGGCATTGCTCAATGTCGGACACGACCTTGAGATAAAATAGTGGCGGATGGCTTTGAAGCCCATTTGAATGTCCGGGATGGATGTCAAGCGCTGGTACTCGGCAATCCAATCAGTACTCGGCAGCGTGCCTTGTTCGAAGACCATTAGCTTGTCCATTGCCTTGATCTCCGGCGGCTCAACTTGGAACCGCTTATGCCATGCCGCCTTAAGATCATCCCAACTGATCTTGGTGTGCAACTCTGCAGCGACCACCCCGTACTTGGACAAGAGATTGTCCATCCATGCTTGACGTGCGCCTCCCGACCGGGAGTATAAGTACGCATGGTGCTTGTATTCGCTGACGAGATGGAGCTGCAACGTGAGTTCAAACTTGCGGAACCACGGAATCGGGTCCGTCTTCGTCGAATCGCAGAAGATCTCTTGACCATCGAACTTTGGAGTTGACTCCCGCTGTCCCGAACTTGGGTTGGCGGCCGCAGCACAGATGCGCTGCTCGAACTGTTGCGTCGCGGTGTGCTGTAACTGCACACCGTCCTTGAGGGATCCGACGTCAATCTCCAAAGCCTTGAGGCGATCGGAGGTGTTGGAGGAGCTGGCAACAGGGGCGGCAATGGTTTGTTCCAGCTGCTGGAGGGGGTTATCTAACGCCCATTTGTGCTGCTGAACCATGTCGTCGAGGTTGTGGATGTCCTCCTGCTGTGCAATGCACGTGGTTAGGAGGTCTGTGAGATGGGAGAGGAGTAGAGCGATCTTATTTTCACTCTCCTCCATCTTTCCATTCTCGGCCTCTGTCCTCCATACCGCTGCCATTGTGAGCAAGGCTCGCTCCCTCCCGAATATCTTCTCGCGTCGTTGAATTCGTTCTTCATGGGCAGCCCTTGCTGCTGCCTCGTCTTGCTGGCGCTGCTGTTCGATTGCCAACATGCGTGCCTTCTCGGCGTCCTCTGCCTTCTTCTTCGCTGCGGTTGCTACGTCATCCGCCTGTCTCTTGGTTTCGGTACTCCAGGCCAGCATCCGGGCCTGATAGGCCTCGTCCGTTTCCCCGGACTTCTGGTCCATGACGGCTGTTTGTGAACTTAAAAGCATAGACCAAGCCGGGGGCCTGCTGACGTGGTACTCCTTGCTGCTGACGTGGCACTACTGTCGGCTCACGTGGTCTGCTGACATGTTCTGTTGACGTGGTCCGCTCACATGGCCTGCTGACATGGTCTGCTGAAGTGGCAACTCACCAATGCCACCGCAGGGGGTACTCGGAGACAGGTAGAGAAGGTAAGGCGAGAGGGTGCAACAATATAGGTGGGGAAATCGCCCAGATAAGGAGCCACTAATCAAAAAAAGAAAAGTTTGAACTTTGCAAAAAAAAATTTGAAACAAATAGAAATCCCCAGTTTTGCAAGTTCAGTAGGTCTCCCAATCTCCCTTGAAGTTCGAAATTACCATTGAGAAAAAAATCTCGAACTTTCAGACTGCAAATGATTATAGAACTGTGACTAAAGGAATCCCGAAAATAAAATTCGGAATTACTCAGATGCGCAGTTTGGAAAATGATAACTGCAGGAGGGATTCCCGTACTGTTTTCAAAAAAACGAAAAAAAAATATTCCGAACTTCCAAATAACGGGAATTGCAGAAGGAAATCGAAATTTCCGAACAGAGATATTCCGGATTTTCAACAATGAAATTTCGAATTTTCCGGACGTTGCGCTATTGCGATTTTCCACAGCAGAAATAGCGAGAAAACAAAATCCAAGAAAAGAAGAATATTTTCGATTTTCGGCAGTAAGGTCAAAATCATGATTTTGGGGGCTAACTAATGTGCTCTAATCAATCAATCAAGACTAATCAGCTACCTCGTCCCCGCACACGTATCAGATCAGGTTGTCCTGATTCTCGTGCGATGTTCCGATACCAACTGTTACATGCCCAGTTGGACGATGTACATATAAACCGAGGATCCACAATGTGATAAAAAGGACTGAATGGACAATGCAGTGCAAGTAGAATCTCAACAAGCAATGTGCATTCCGATACATACAAAACGGTGCTTTATAGTGCAGGGAAGACTTTAGATACAAGTCCTGACATGACCGGGACTGACCTCTTTCACGTAGTACAAGATAGCGAAACAGAATGCTAGAATACTAAGGACTAGCGCACTCAATGTTTCAACGCAGACCAAACATACATCATGCTCATCACAAGGTGTGATGGGCCCTGGCGCTATACACAGGAAGGAGGCGCCAGGTCCAGACATACACAGACGAAGAGGAGGGGATCAGACGAAGAAGAGGGGGAGAGATGGGAATGTCGTCAGCACCAAGTCTTTGTCACAAGTCCCAAATAATCCCTCGTCAAAATGTCTGACGTCCAATGTCGAGTCTGGATCCAAATGTCACCAAGTTCTCTCTCTCTCTCTCTCTCTCTCTCTCTCTCTCTCTCTCTCTCTCT